AATACCCATTTCCTTCCCCAGATTAGGGATGTTCACAGGTATAATTTGTTCAAATAAACCTTCAGCCCCCCTCTCTCTCTTCATCTTCTGGGACCCCTATCATCTAGATATTATTTCACTTTATGGTATCTCTGATTTCCCAGTGTCTCCCTTGGTGATCCAGTAGTTGTTTTCCCAGGTTCCCTATTTCCCATCATTTTGTCTTCTATACGCTGACTCTCTCTTCTGCCTCATTTATCCTAGTGGTGAGAGCCTCCATTTTTTACTCCATCTCAGTAATACTTTTTTTGTTTTGTTTTAGTAATAGCATTTTTTATTTCAGCCTGATTGGATTTTAGTTCTTTTATTTCTTTGATAGGGGATTCTCTAGTATCTTCTATGCATTTTTAAACCTAGCTACTATCTTTATAATCATTGTTTTGAAAACTAGTTCCAACATCTTACTTATATCCATATTGATTAAGTCCCTGTTAGTGAGTACTACCTCCTGTTCTTTTTTTTTGGGGTGAGTTCCTCTGTCTCATCAATATATTGAGAACAGAATAGAAGAAAGAGAAAAGATGAAAATAACAACAACAGAAAAAACAAACAAAACAAACCAGAAGAAAACAAAAACAAAACAAAATAAGAAAAAAAAATCCAAGAAGAAGTAAACCAGAACAAAACAATAAACTAGATCCTGGGTGTATTTTGGTCTGTTTGTTAAAAGAAACTAGATCCCAAAACTGGAAAGAGAAAAATTTATATATATAAAAAAAAAAATACAATACAATGACAGGAAATGTACAATGAAAAAATATATAATGTATATATGAAAATAAAGATAAAAATGAGTAAAGAAAACAATTGAAAAAATAAGAAAATAGGGGTGCCTGGGTGGCTCAGTGGGTTAAGCCTCTGCCTTTGGCTCAGGTCATGATCTCAGGGTCCTGGGATCGAGTCCCGCATCGGGCTCTCTGCTCGGCGGGGAGCCTGTTTCCTCCTCTCTCTGCCTGCTTCTCTGCCTACTTGTGATCTCTGTCTGTCAAATAAATAAATAAATAAATTCTTTAAAAAAAATAATAGCTGGAAAAAATAAAATTGAAAGACTAAGGAACAATAAAAAAAACCCACAAATGGTATATACTGTTTTCCCCAAGAGCTGAAGTTGTGCAGTTTTCTATGATCAGTAAACTTTGCTAGTGAATTGTTCCTGCTCATCTTCTGGAGGGGCCGGTTGTGCCGATTCTCAGGTGTCTTTGCCCCGGTGGAATTGTCTCCCTTGCAAAGTGGCCAGGCTTAATGTCGGAAGCTCTGGATTCCACTATGTGGTGATATTTTGCTCCTTGAAGGCTTTCAGCACTGATGGTGAAGCTTCAGAGCTGGGTTCTTGTTTCAAGGAGTCAAAGAATGAATCTCCCAGATAAAGGAGAGTGAGTAAAGTGATAAGAGTTTTTTTTTTTTTTTTTTAAGATTTTATTTATTTATTTGAGAGAGAGACAGTGAGAGAAAGCATGAGCAAGGAGAAGGTCAGAGAGAGAAGCAGACTCCCCGTGGAGCTGGGAGCCCGATGCGGGACTTGATCCCGGGACTCCAGGATCATGACCTGAGCCGAAGGCAGTCGTCCAACCAACTGAGCCACCCAGGCGTCCCAGTGATAAGAGTTTTAAGTAAGGATACAGGAAAAGCTCCCAGGAGTGAGAGGAGTCCAGACAGGGTTGCAACCGAGGTCTTTTAAGGTTGGTCCTTTATTGAAAGCTAACCAGGGAACTTAAAATCTTTTTGATTTCTCTACTGGCAGCACCATTGATTAAGGACTAATGATAACATCTTTCATGGCTTACTTCCTTTTAGGGTTTGATTATTTTCTGTTGACCACAGGAGACTGTCATAAAGAAGACTCTGCCCTTGAACACTAGGGCAGGGTGGTCTGGAGTTTTTCCTTATCTCTGGTTTCCTTCCACTTCTGCATTTTGGGGATTTCTGTGAGCCTGACTGCATAGCCCCCTATCTCTCCCTACCTAGCCCTTCCTGTCCCTTTACGCAGTGGGGAGATGAAAATGGTGGCACCATGATCTCTAGCACTGGAACTGAAAGTTCACGCCCCCCACTCTTTAGCGATCCCTCACAGAAAAGCAGTCAGTCACCCTTGTCTTCCTGGTTTCCGTCTGAACTCTGTGTTCACTCCACCTGTGACTGACCATTTTTAGCTCAGGAAAGTGACCCAGTTTCAAGTCTCCAAACTTTATGGGCTCCTGTGATGTGGACCTGAGTCATTCCTGGTAGGGGATTGGTGGAGAGGGAGGGAAGTCTCTCCAGGCTTCTGCCTTGTACTAGGCCCCTACCTGGAGTGCAAGTGTAAAGCCTTTTGTGGTTTATGGCAAAATCGAGCAGAAAGTTGGCACCTGGACTCCCTGTGTTCAGCCTGCTTCCTTGCTCTGATGCCTGGGAACCCTGTAGCACTCAGGCACCTCTGTTCTTCTTGTGACCCCAGGGATCCTGAGACCATGCTGTCCCACCTGAAATCTACCCCACTTTGCCACCTAAGCACCTTTAAGCCAGGGACATCCTCCACTGTAGCAGACTTTAAGTTGTTCTGATTTTGCATGCCACTGCTTATAATACTCTGTGGTAGACTCTTTAGGCAGGCCCCCTTCCCTCTGCAGTATCCTCTGACAAATATATTGTCCCTGATTCACATCTCCCATCACCTACCTTCCAAAAAGTGGTTTCTTTTCTTTTCTAAAAATATTTTTATTTCTGAGAGAGAGAGAGAGAGAGAGAAAGAAAGAACACAAGCAGGGGGAGCAGCAGGCAGAGGGAGAACTAGGATCCCCGCTGAGCAAGGAGTCCGATGCTGGACTCAATCTCAGGACCCTGGAATCATGGCCTTGATGTGGTTTTAGAGTATAGGTGAGGTTTGGTGGGGTGGGGTCCAGAGCCAATAACCAAGAAAGAATTCCTGAGATGTCTTTGGTGCAAAAGGGTGGTTCTTTTATTTTGTTTTCTTTCTTTCTTTTTTTTTTTTAAAGATTTTATTCATTTATTTGACAGATAGAGATCACAAGTAGGCAGAGAGGCAGGCAGAGAGAGAGGAGGAAGCAGGCTCCCTGCTGAGCAGAGAGCCCAACACGGGGCTCGATCCCAGGACCCTGGGATCATGACCCAAGCCGAAGGGAGAGGCTTTAACCCACTGAGCCACCCAGGTGCCCCAAGGGTGGTTCTTTTAAAGCACAGGGACCTGTGGGCAGAAAGAGCAGCAATCGGGTCATGAGGAATGACCCATTATATACTTTCAAGTTGGGAGGGGGTTAGGGATAGTAAATCTCTAAGGAATTTTGGAAGCAAGGTTTCCAGGATTCTGAAGGGGCTAGCTATTTCTGGGAAAAGGTCATTTATTATTGTCTAATAAAACCTTGGACATGAAACCCTTCAGATGTATATCGGTGGGCCATATACTTGGGGAATGATTGCCAATACGTATCTTGGGGAGTAGAAATAAAGGAAATTTCCAAAGGAATTTTTATATGTTAAAGTAGACTTACAGGATTCTTGGGGGAGCAGGGCTATGATTGTTTTTTGCCCTTAGGAAAGTTTTGACATCCAGGTAGTTGAGTCCCTAGAGGAATGTCACTGTCTATTTTCAAGGACTTGTCAATGGGCTGCAGATAGCAAGGAAATTCAATAATTTTTCTTCCACCTTTGTTTCCCACATCAATTTCTATCATTTAATAATATGTCCTGAGGATTGCTCCATATTACTACATGCAGGTCTTTTTCATTTTTTACAGCTGCATAGTGTTGTTGTCGTCTGGACGTACTAGTTTATTTGGTCTCGTACTGATGGACATTGTGTCATTTCCAGTGTTACAACAAATAATGCCAAAATGAATGTGCTCATGCATGTTCACTGTGGAAATATATACTGAGTAGATTATTAGAAATGAAGTTTCTGAGTCTAAGGGTGATTAATAGATGTAATTTTCTTAGATGGTACTAAATTCTATTCCACAGGGATTCTATTAAACATTTTGCCCTCCAATCAGCAATGCTATGGTGGGACCATTTCTCTACAACACTACTAACAGCTGCTTTGACAAACTTTGGCACTTTTGTCACTCTGATCAATGTTATGCCAGTAAAATGATATCTCAAATCTCTGGGGGAAAGACAGGCTTTTAAATTAATGGTATTAGAACAACTGGATAGCCTCTGGGAAAAGATAAAATTAGAGCCACACTTCACATCACACACTAGACTAAGCCCCAATAAATCAGAAATTTAAACATAAATAATGAACCATATAAGTACTAAAAGAACACACTGATAATATCTAGAACTTGTGGGTTGGGAAGACCTTTCTAATTATGATTCATTTAGAACAGAGAATAAAAGAAAATACTAACAAACGTGATTATAAGATATTAAAAATACATGTTTATTTACTTATTTGAGAGGGAGATAGCACAAGCAGGTGGAGTAGCAGGCAGTGGGGAGGGAGAAGCAGGCTCCCTGCTCTCTTGATCCCAGGAGCCCAGGATCCTGACCTGACCAGAAGGCAGATGCACAACTGAGTCACCGGGCACCCCAGGAGACTCTTAACTATAGGAAACAAACTGAGAACTGCTGGGGGGGGGGGGAGGGTTGGCAGGATATGGGGTAACTGGATGATGGGCATTAAGGGGGGCACTTGATGTAATGAGCACTAGGTCTTATATGCAACTGATGAATCACTAAACTCTACCTCTGAAACTAATGATATGCTATATACTTTGTTTTTGTTTTGGCTTTTTAAGAACTTTTTTTTTTTTTTTAAATTTTTTATTTATTTATTTGACAGACAGAGATCACATGTAGGCAGAGAGGCAGGCAGAGAGAGAGAGACGAGGAAGCAGGCTTCCCGCCAAGCAGAGAGCCCGATGCGGGGCTCGATCCCAGGACACCAGGATCGTGACCTGAGCTGAAGGCAGAGGCTTTAACCCACTGAGCCACCCAGGCGCCCCTTTAAGAACATTTTTATTTAAATTCTAGTTTAAGGGCGCAATATTGGTTTCAGGAGTAGAATTCAGTTATTCATCACTTATATACAACACCCAGCACAAAGGGTACACATTTTGAATTACTAAATTGTTTAGAAACATTAAGGAAAGCCATTGCATACTAGGATTTGATTTCCTGCTTTATTCAGAGTCCATATATTTTGCATATATTAACAACTATCTTATTATGATATAAGTAAAAATGAGAAGTACCTGGCCTGCTCAGTCTGAGCAGCATGTGACTCTTGATCTTGGGGTTGTAAGATCGAGTCCCATGTTCTGTGTAGATTACTTGAAAATAAAAAATCTTTTTTTTTTTTTTTTTTTTTTTAAGATTTTGAGAGAGAGCAGAGCTCGAGAAAGAGCATGAGTGTGTGGGTGGTTAGGGAGAGGGAGAGGCAGACTCCTTATGGAGCAGGGACTCCGACCCAGGGCTCAATTCCAGGACCCTGGGATCATGACCTGAGTGAGTCAAAGGCAGATGCTTAACTGCCTAACCAACTGCGCCACCCAGGCAACCCAAAAATAAAAAAATCTAAAAAAAAAAAAAAAAAAAGAAAAGTAAACATGAAGGACAGAGGTTAGGAAGGAGGAATAGGAATATTCTCTCTAGTTAGAGGAACCTATACTGATAAAAACATAACAGATGAATGAACCCCAAACTCCTAAGTGAACTGTATTCCACATTATTTCATCTATTTTCCTAATTGGGACATTATTCTCAGTCACCCACATGAGAGGTATCACTGTTATGATTTAGCCACAAAATCAAAACTCCCACGTTCCCCTATTACCATCCCACTGTGGCATGTTCAATCATGTGCAACCACAGCACACTTAAACTTAGCCAAAAATCAGAACTAGTGTTCAAGAGCCAATGAACTCAGAAATGAGATTCATGGGCGCAGCCAAGGAATATGAGCTGAAGACAAAAAGGGTCCAGCTCTACCCTAAACCAGGTAGACATTATCTCCAGAAATAAGTGATAAAGTACTCAGAAACATTTAGTTACTTGTGCACTAATTACTATTTTCCCTGCACATAATTTATTGACATATGAAGCAATCAGTGGAGACACTGTATCAGGGATGAAAGCAAAATAAAGATGTAAATTTCCACATTAGTGGACCCCAGGGAATGAATGAATCTCCCAGTATTCATGCCCCATTGTAGCCCCTTCCCTGTAGAATCTGGGCTTGGGTTACATGACTTGCTTTGTCAAGGGGACATTAGCAAATGTGAGGAATACAGAGGCTTGATAAGTACTTGTAACTTGGAGCTTGTCCTCTTGAAATGCTCTCTGTGAAGCCAGAGAGCATGTAAGAGGTTCAATCACCCTGAGAAAGCCATGCTGTGAGGACCTGAAAACCAGCTATGTAGTGAGGCCACACTGAAAAGCAATGAGGTGCCAGACATGCAAAAGAAACTTCTTGGGTCTTCCAGATCAGGTGCCACAACCACTAGCCAAATGCAGCTGAGTGATTCCAGCTGATGCCATACGGAACAGAGGAAACTACCCAGCAAAGCTCTCAGATAGCTTAGTCCACAGAATCATTGTTTTTTGAAGCCACATTATGCAGTGACCTTTGTGCAGCAGTAAATAAGTACAATACAGGATTTATAAGAGAAAGGAAGGAAAAAAAAACCTGCATTCTGGGAAGAGTGAATTTTATTTTTATGTTTGAGGTAAATTGATTAGCTGAAACCTAGCAAATAGGTCAGTCTGAAACTCTATCTTTGAGTAAGTTTCCTAGGGATAATAAATAAAATAATTTTGTTGTTTACTCATTCTCAAGAAAACCCTGAGGGTTTACCTATGGGGCATACTTGTGTAGTGTCCACTAGTGTCCTTTCATTAGCACCTTTGACCTTGTTAGTTCAAATTTGTACAATTTCTCTTATTCGGATTTTATAGAAGATGACTGAGAGATTGGGAAAGGCTGAGTGAGCCGGGAGGATCTGAAGCCACTCTGACCCTCTAAACTTTTTTCCTTGTTTAAAAACAACAGCAGGGGCACCTGGGTGGTGCAGTTAAGCATCTGCCCTTAGCTCAAGTCATGATCCCAGAGTCCTGGGATTGAGCCCCAAGTTGGGCTCCCTGCTCAGCAGGGAGTCTGCTTGTCCCTCTCTCTCTGCTCCTGTCCCCCACTCCCACTTGTGCTCTCTTGCTCTCTAATAAAGAACTTAAAAACAATAAAAACATTGCCAGTGGCATCAGTAGTCGGTCTAGCCCTTTAGTCAACAGTGAGGGCTACCTGAATAAAAAATGCTCTATGAAGTCTCAAACTCTTACAGACAACCCTGAATCGTGAGTTCCAAATGTGGCACTGTACAGAGGAAGCAGGGATGAAGGAGCACTGGGGTCAGGGCCCTGGAAATGGAAGCTGCTTGGTGGGGTCAAGTGGTCTATGGAAATCAGGATCTCCCTGAATGGTAGGAATATGAGCATGGGTAAAGGCAGAGAGGTTAGCCAGTGACAGAAAAATACAAACTAAAGTAAGAGAAAAACAGAATGAAGAGCTGAAATACTCACAGAAGCACACAAAGTGAAACAGAACTATTTTTATTTATTTGAAAGATAGGGTGAATCCATCACTGGTGACCAGAGCTCTGAGGCTACACTTTCTCCTCAGGGAGGTGGGCTGGAATGGGGTGGGCTGCGTTTGGCAGGGACTGTGGTGGTTTGAGATCTGGGTAGATGAGAATTTTTTTTTCAGATTGTAGCACCTCTCACAGCAATCCAGAATCTACCTGTGTGTCCTTTCAGCTCTTTGTCCCCCATCACCCCTGTCTTCCTGGGGCATCCCCAATTTTTCTCTACAAACCTCTCACCTGCCTGGCTCCCCAGCTGGGCCTCAGGCCGGTCTCCCCAGAGTAGATGATCAGGATCATTGAGGAAACGTTGGCTGCGTTGGCATGTTAGGCAAGTCTGTACCGTCCAGCGCTGTCCCCTGCAGCCTGGATGAAAGGGGGGGGGGGAGTGCCCAGGTTTAGGAGAAGAAAAGGTCTCCTGCACCCAGTTTTGCCTCCACTGTTTCTCAGTAGTAATTTGAACACTCCCCAACTTTGAATACAAATTAGAGGTGTCTTAGCCCTGCTTAAAGTCTGTCAATTTCTTGGTATCCCTTAAGATAAAGTCCAGACTCCTTAATTTGGAAGAGGATCTGCCCTGTTTCCTTCTCCAGCCTTATATGTTGGCCTTGTCCACCCCAAACTCCAGGTTCCTGGACTCTAGTCTCCTTGACAGCACCACAAGCGCTCTTGTTTCAGAGTCCTCACACTTGCCTGAATTTCCATTTCTCACTTCTTTTGCCTATCAGTAAGGTAAGTTAGCATTTTAGTTCCTCAAGCAAAGCATTTTACTACACTATCTTGTTTCTTAGTATGTCCTATCAGACTGTAATTTCAGTGAGAATAATGGATCTTGTACAATACTTGACACATCTTAGAAAAATATTTGGTAAATGAATCAATGAATGGTGATGTGAATCCTGTCCTCCACCATGCAAAAATGGGGAGGGGGGTTACCTCTTACAGCAACATCATTTCCCTACTGCCCAGCCTTTCCTTAGTAGGTCCAAGTGAATTTAGCAATTCAACCCAGAGCTTGAAAAAGCCGGAAGCTCTAAATTTCACGCCAGACGCCATCTAAAGCGAGCCCACTGGTGCTCCTCATTCACCCCCATTAGGGGCACTCACGTCTCTGGCGCTGGGTGCAGGTGAGGCCCGGGATGAGGAGGGAAGAGCAGCCACGACAGAGGGTCCTCTTCACCGAGGGGTCCCTGCGGACGGAGTGGGATGGTGGTCCGAAGGCCAGCGTTCCCTCTCCCATTCTTCCCGCGTCCCGCCCGCAGCTAGATTCCCTGAGCGTCTCACCGCCGCAAGACCAGCCGCTTTGCAATGGTCCTCTCCGTATAACAATAAAACCTCGCCAGCGCCTGGTTCATGGGGTCCTGTGCAAGGACACAGTGGGCGGCCTGGAGGAAGGAAACCATTACTTCGTGGCCAGCCACACCCGACCGCCTCCCCGTACGTCACCAGACGCGGACTCACCTGGTACAAGAAGCTGAGCCTCTGGAAGGCCTCGCGGTCCTTAACCGGCCCAGCCATCTGCGCCGCGCGAGGGCCTCACGCACGACGGTCTGCCGGTCCCGCCCTTCCGATAGCCCCGCTTCAGGCGCCCGCGCACGGCCTCCTGGGAAGTGTAGTTCCTGGGCCGGTGAGCCTCTCTCCGCGATCCTTACTTTGGCGCCACCCTGCGGCCTCACGGACTCCAGTTGTTCGTAAACCCATACCCACCCCTGCAACCCAAGTCCAGGGTCCCTTTCTGAGTTTTGGCTTCCTTCTAGTCTTCCTCAAGCCCATGATCAGTTATCCTAGGTAGGAAAGTCACTGCTCACTAGAACAGGAGAGGATCTTAAACTGCAAAACATTTTTAGGACAGAAGACTGGTTTCTTTATGCAGATAGGTTGGGGAGATGGTTATGTGCAATTTATACCCAGCTAGAACTTCTGCCCTACTCTCCCGAAGCCAAAGGCAGATGCCTGAAAGATCTACAGATTGAAGGAACAGAAGTTATACATTCAAAGAAAGCACTGGTACCAGTGGGAGTGAAATTGGAAGGATCACCGGGGTGATCAAGAGAGAGAAGCAGAGCTTATTACCATTCTTTTCCACTGAACAACAACAACAACAACAACAACAACATAACAAAAAAAACCACTTCCTATTATGCAGTGCTGGAGACACAGTAGGTGATCTAGTTAACTTCTCATCTTAGGTACTGGAGCACAGAAACTTTTGACATCTCCTGCCCCTGAAACTCTCCCCTCTCCCACCTCCCCTATTCCAATCATATACTTCACATCCCTTATTCTGACCTCTGTCTCCTGTTTGTTCTGTTTGACATCCTGTGTTTACTTCTGCCTCATAATGACCACCAGTTCCTGATGTCGGAAGTAGAGGGATGTGAGCTGGAGTGGCAGAACATGAATGAACCTTGGGATAGGGAGAGGGCAACATTAGGCCAGGAGAGTAAGGCCTCTCTCCCTTCTCAAACCCTGTCAGGCCACGCAGGAAACCAGGCCTCCAGCTCAGAAAAAATGGCCAAAACCTCCTCTGGGATTAATTTCACAAGGATCTCTAAATGTTTAAAATGTAGACATCCAGGCCCACCCCAGACCTTGATCAATCACTGAGGGCAAACCCCAGGATCACGCATTCTTAACACCAGTGATTCTTAAACATCAACACAAGGCCATTTTCAAATTACCACACAACACAGAGATCACTTCAGTGGATCCTTTGTTCCATATTATGTTTTACCAACCAAAGCATCTTGCCACAAAGAACCACAGTCAAGGCACAAAGGTAAGAGGAGAGTTTGGACAAAGTCCTGTTGAGGTGGTAGGAGGAACTGAAACACCCTCAATAAACTGCAGTTTCTTGTCCCAATCTTCTGTGAACCCTTCATCACCCAAATAGCAGATATTCCAAATCGTTTTAGTTTGGTTTGGCATGCATTGCTTTAACCTTTTTTGACAACATATGTACCCTACAAGTTGTTTATTTTGGCCTAATGTTAAAATGATTTACATTCTCTGATAGGGGAAATGGCAAAAGGTGAAGGATGGCAACAAATAAGCAAAAGACTGGCTCCTGTGAACACTAGTTCCAGGCCATATGCACACAGGCTAAAGGAAATTGCCTATCTGACCCTTCCCTCTATATACCCTCTCTTCTACCCTGTCCTCAGAGTGAGAAAGACTCCATTTCCTTTCTCCCTTTTTGGCTTGGACACCTTAGCCAAGGAGTAAGGTTGACAACTAAGGAGCAGCTATACTTAGTAACATCCTTTAAGGCCAGGGCTTTAGATAGAAAAACCTTTCTCTTTCCTCTAATACCTGACTGTTCTTTCCAGGTTCCCTTGGGAAAGCAGTGAAGGGTAGATACGTCTTGAGGGAGATACCTCATCTCTGCAGGAGAAAGGTGACTGACTGACATTTTGGAGACAACCAACTCTAAGGAGGCAGGCACTAAGCCAGCTTTGCTGAAGGCTGAGGCAGGGACCCGAGTTCTCCTCTCCTTTCTTCTCACACTCTCCTCCCCACAGTCCTACCTCTGGCCAATCCTAATGGCAACTTACTCTGGGAATGGAAGACCAAGGAAACCCCTTCATTAGTTGCTAGGAATCTGTTCCTTTAGCCCCTTTCCCGACTTTCTTTCTAATCTTGATGCTCAATCTCTGCCCTCAAAAAAAACAAAACTCCTTAACTTCTAGACCCATAAGAGCAACTATCATTCATCTTTATTTTAGTCTACGGGTACACAGACCCCTCTGACCTTCCTCAAGAAATAGGACCATTCTGGGTCAAACAACCCCCTAAAAGGATGTACAGGGGTTTCTTTTCCTCTTCTGGTTTTGAGCAAGTCAGACCCTCCCATAGCCTTTCTGTTTCCGGAAATGCCTCTCCTTCCTTCCCAACCTATCCATGTGCAATAGAAAACCTGATGGACTTCAGGGAAGTCAACCCCTGGGAACTAGCTCCCCACCCTGAGAGGAGGGAGACGCAACTGTGCTCTCATCCCAGACCAGTCCTATCTACTCCTCCATATAAACCATTCTAGAAACCAAGGTGCTTCTCCTAGACAGTGCAGGACTGGAACCAGGTAGACACAAAGACGTTCCAGCAGGTCACAGGAAGGAAGGCCCATAGCTCTTGACCCTGACTCACCCCAATTATTACCACATCCCTACCTGTCACTCCCAATCTGTTGGGGGCCTGATGGTAAGTGGTGCAGCATTCTTCCGACCAGCCCGGATGCCTGGATAGAAGAGGGGCCAAAGTTTCTCAGTAAAAGTATCAGTAAAAGTGTAGATATGAGAGCGGTCTGTGACATTGTAAAAAGAGAGCGTGCCAGCCTCATAGTCTAGGAATATGCCCACCCGCTTGGGTTTCACCTTGATGTGCAAAGGGGTAAAAGGCGTGGTGGTGGCTGCATATTTGTCCCCATTCCACAGCCGCACCCGCCAGTAGCCAGTCTCAGGGAGTGGAGTCAGCTCGCCCTTTCGGCTCACGGAGTCCCGGCACACGCCCACTGCCCAGTGGGTCTTATCACCCACCTCCACCTCCCAGTAGTGTCGGCCTGAGGTGAAGCCCTCAGTAGCCAGGACACAAGGGTAGAAGGTGAACCGCCGTGGTGTGTCAGGGAGATCCCGGAGTCTTGTCTCCACAAACTTGACGCTCTTACGATCTTCTGACAGGACTAGGTTAGGGTGAGCAGTCTCTGGGTCCAGGGTCACATCCGCTGGCGGGAGAAGCCAGAGTGGGGAGCTAGATGAGGATGGGAATAGCTAAATGCCCCTGCCTCACTCTTCCAGCCTGCCTTTACAGAGCCTGCTTCCTTAAAGATCCCCAGAACACCATGGTTTGGTTAACTTTCTCAATCCATGGTGTCACCTAAGGGAAAGGAGGGAACAATGGCTTCCCTTCTCACCCTGGCCCTAAAGTATACAGTTAATGATCTCTTGATTCTGCAAGGGCTGATTTTAGGGTCCTGCCTGATCCCTTCTCCATCATCCTATGACATCATCTCACTATGTGAAGAAGCACAAATCACAGTCTAAGGGCCAGAAAGAACAGAAAATGTTAAGAAGGATAACAGCAAGACAGCATTATGGTCTAGGGATAGGGTGACCATTTATCTGGAATAGTCCTGGTTCATGACTATTTTCTCTGAGTAAGTATTAATGATACTCCCTTTCACTCTCAAGGGGGGACAAGTTTAGCATATTATTTAACCTCTCTGGGTGCCTATTTAGAAAAGTGTGGGCCTAAGAATAGATGACACCTAACCCTGTTACTCACAGTGAAATTGAAAGCCAGGTGAAGGGATGGGCACAAAAAGTGACAGATGGGATAAGTGAAGCCCAGATAAAGTGGGATCTAAAGACTTTCTTCTTTGCTAATTCCCTCTGCTAGTTTACTTTTGGGAACAACTCACCAATTAGCTGTTTAAGGATTTTCCTTAGGGCAAAGTACTGTCGGGGGAAATTGCTGAAGTTCTTTTCCAGCTCTATAGACACTGAAGTCACCTCCATGGTCTTCACCTTCTCACATCTAGGAGGGATAGGGAGATAGGGGAAGAAAGGGCAGGGTCAGGGGAAGCTCCATCTGAGTATGAAGATATTCTCTTTAGGGAGAAACTAAAGTTCTCCATCCTCCCACTTTCTCCCTCCTCTCTGAAGACAAGTACTCACTTACTGCTTTCTTTTGCCAATCTATGGAGAACCATATGGCCCCTGGACAAAGCCTTATTTTAAGAATGAGTCTCAGAACTTTCTGGAGGTATGGCTATATTTCATGCAAGTAGTAATCACTCTCTCTTCTCTCTCAGCCCCTTCCTTTGTCTGTCCTGTTTGGACACATTTCCACCCACAGGCACAGGGAGAATCTGGTTCTACATTCCCTTGGAATTTTCCTTACCAGGTTAGTCCTGATGCTCAAAGGGGAAAAGGTAATGGACTATTACTCCCAATGATTTCCTCTATAACTGGCTTCATGGATGCAATGAACCTTCTCCCACATCCTACCCGGACTCTGCGTGACTTTCCTTCTCCCTTAACCTTTTACTGTACTCCTGGTCTCTAAGCCAAGACCTAACTCACTCAAAGAGATGCAAGAATCACTTACTTTTCCAGGGTACTTTTGACATCCTAGAGGGAAGGAGAAAAGAAAGCAATATTGGTCCTGGTAGTCAAGGGTCCTATAGGCAAAAGGTTCCCCCCCCCTTCCCCAAAGTCCTAGATCTGTACAATAAGAATAGGGCAAACTGAGCATCACAATGCAAGGGGAAGAGCTCCAGAGGGATCTGAGTACATCTCTTGCAACCTGATCCCCATTTTCAACTTTTGGTTAGCATTAAGCTTGGTAATTTATATCACTTCCAAATGGTTTCTTGTGTCTTTGTCTTGCTCCTTAAGGACACTGGAGCTCAATGCAAAGGACAGGGATTGTGTCTGCTCTTTACTCTGTCCCCCAAGTACCAACCACACACCTGTCTCCTTGAGGATCAGTACAGACTGGTGGCATAGGAATGAAATACACTTTCCTGTTGTTGTTTGTTATCCCCATCTGGTACTGGTTAATAAACATTAATAACTGTGTGCCAATCCTGATTTGTGAATACTTGGGGTCCAGAAGACAAAGAAGAGAAATCTCTGCCCCCCCGAGGATTTCCCAGTTTAATGTGGAAGGCAGAACACACATACATGAAAGGACACAAGAATAAGTACCAAGCAATACATAACATGCAGATAAATGTACAACGAAGCCTCACTGATCCAAATGCTGGTAATCTGATCTCTAAAATAAGAGACATATTTCCTACAGGCTTGCTAACACCATTCATCTGCTTAAAAGAACAAATTATTTCAAACATTTAAAGGCATTATTTACATTTCAAAAGTAATATATTATTTATACATAATTTCAAGTGTCCTTCAAACTAGGTTTGAAATTGTTTTTTAGCAGTAGGTAAATCAAGTTCCAGGACCTTAAAGTAATGGCAACTACTACATTTACATAATTCTTAATGTGTAGTTTTTTTCACTAATTCAGACTTGATTTCCCTTCTTTCAAAGGGAATTTTTTTCTTTGGTACAAATTAAGCACATAATTGTTCACAAGACATAAGAACACAGAAATGATTAGAAGGGGATGGGAGAAATCAGAGAAGCCTTTCTATAGAAAAAGATCCTTTGAGAATGTCTGGAATAAAGAACTGGATTAGAGAAGAAGAGCAGAAGAGTGAGCATCCCAGGTTGACAGAATGGCCTGTGCAAAGCTATACTGCACTTGACCTGAGGGGCTATGCAGGGGCAAAGGTCGAACCTTAAGCATCTCGAAGCCCGATTGTAAGCACTTGCCCTCCACCTCAGCAGCCAAGTGGGCCAGGTCCCGGCGCTTGTCTCCAAGGTGAGCAGCATTTTCTCTGAGGCGCTGTAGAATGTCTTGTTCTTCCTCCTCTAGTCGTGAAAGCAACATCTGTTGCTCTTCATCCAGCCGCCTATGAAGCTCTTCAAATTCCTTTAAGATCTGTTGCCGGCGACACTCCACGAGTCTCTGAGAAAAGAGGGAAGGTGTTATATTTAGCAGGACCAGTGGAGCCTTTCCCTACCTACCATGTGTATGAATTAACACAGACTTCCAGTGTCATTGGAAATAGCTTAACAGGATACTCATGTTTCTCTCCATTGAAATCTCCTTCTGTAAGTAATGGCTCCATCCCCATTGTCACCCTTACTGATTATTCGGGAATGAAGACCACTGGGGAAATTTTAAAAAATCAGTGTTTAAAAATTTTTTAATTTTCTTGGGCCACCTGGGTGGCTCAGTGGATTAAGCCTCTGCCTTTGGATCAGGTCATGATCTCTCAGGGTCTTGGGATCGAGCCCCGAATCGGGCTCTCTGCTGGGCGGGGTGCCTGCTTCCCCTCTTTCTCTGCCTGCCTCTCTGCCTACTTGTGATCTCTCTCTCTCTGTGTCAAATAAATAAATAAAATCTTTTAAAAAATTTAATTTTCTTTATTAACTTCTAAAAAAGCTGTACTTCTATGGTTTAGTGAGAAGAAAAAGCAAGATGTAAGAACTCAATAATATAATGGCATCTACTATTATGGATACAAGCTATATCTGTTAGTCCCAACTCTAAAGTTCTAGCTAATACAATTTATCAAGAAAAGGATAGAAATAAGTATTGGAAAGTTAGAGATAAGATGGTCATCATTTGTATATTGCTAGACATCTACCCTCTAAAAACCAGAGAACCAACTGGAAAAGTATCAGAATCAGTAAGATTTTAGCAATGGGTTGTTACAAAATATATACAGTTGACTATTGAACAAAACAGTCTGTGAAGGTCCATTATATATATACACAGATTTTTTTCCCCATAAATAGGTTGTATAAAGGTATTTTTTCCCTTATGATTTTCTTAATAACATTTCCTTTTTCTAGCTCACTTTATTGTGAGAATACAGTATATAATACAAATAACATATAAAATAGATGTTAATCACTGTTTATGTCATCTCTAATGCTTCTGGTCAACAGTAAGGTATTAAGAGTTAAGTTTTTCAATGATGTGGATGGAACTACAGGGTATTATGCTAAGTGAAATAAGTCAGTCAGAGAAAGACAAATATCATATCATTTCATTCATATGTGGAATTTAAGAAACAAAACAGGAGCATAGGAGAAGGGAAGGAAAAATAAAATAAGATGAAACCAGAGAGGAAGACAAACCATAAGAGACTCTTAATCATAGGAAATAAACTGAGGGTTGCTGGAAGGGAGGTGGGTGGGGGAATGGGGTAACTGCGTGATGGGCATTAAGGAGGGCATGTGATGTGAAGAGCACTGGGTGTTATATGCAACTGATGAGTCACTAAACTCTACTTCTGAAACTAAAAAAAAAAAAAGAGTTAAGTTTTTGGGGAGTTGAAAGTTATATGCAGATTTTCCTCTGCACTGCTAATCTTGTTCAAGGGTCAACTGTATATTGATTTCAGCAACAAACCCGTTAAATAGTTTCAAGTCACTTCAGAGAACTGACAGTTCCCATCCCAGGATTAGGTTCCAGAGTTTGTGAATTAGTTGTTGAAATTTGAAACATGTTTTCTCTCAGCTACCACACAAAATTAAATCTCTAATCTTCCTGAAATTTGATAATATAGGCCTAAAACACCAGCCATAATACTTTCTGAAAGTTATCACTTAGCATGTCCTTCCTTCTGTACTTCCACTGCAACAAATGATCTGCCCAGATGGGAGTCTCCAAGTGTCATATGACTGATGAGGAAAAGTAAACCCAAGAGCGAAGTAAAAGAGGAGCAGAGACAGGGACTCTGGAAATAAAAAGTAGGTAGGGACTAAAAGGCAGGGCTGAGGGTGAATAGAGAGGGGCTGCAAAGCCAGTGTGGGTCTTAGAAGCTCAGCGTTTCTGGATTTCAAGCTAGTTCTCAGCAGAGGCTGGCTAGCTCCAGTTCTGGAGCTGCTGCTGCTTGCCATTTCACTGGTGGCTCCTCAGGTGCACAGTGGAACAAAATATACTCTTAAAACATTTACCCTGTGAAAATTATAAAAGGAAAACTCACTAAAATGAAGGTAGGATGCCAGCAGGGGGAGCTCAACTGCTGGTCAGTTGTAGACCCAACCAGAAGAGATGTACCTTGTAAGTCCATAATATCTTACCACCCCAACAGGAGGAAGAAAGGTTTGTTTTTTGCAGGGCAACAAGCCCAGCCAGTGACAAACTGTCACAACCCAGTCAATGAAAAGTCCCTATACTCTGAACTCCCAGTTTACTTCAAGGACTCTTCGTTTATAAGAGTCCCTCCTAAATACCCCCTTTCCTCTTTAGAAGAGTGGTCCTCTCCTTTGTTCTCTAGACTTGCCTATGGCTTTGCCTTAGTTTGCTTGTCCTGAATTGCAATTCTCTGCTATTCCTGAATAATCTCACTGATGCAGGTAAAATAACTGAATTTTATTTCTTAACCCCTAAGTAAAACACAACTTTTTTCTTGGTGTGTGTGCACACGTGTGTGTTAGTATATGTTGAGAGGTGATGTATGGGTAGAATTTAGGATTCATACCTGTGGTAAATAGGAAGCAAAGGGCTGTCTTTTATATAATTCCATAATCCCTTCTCTTTTTTCCCACTCTATATATGTAGGGCACTGGTTCTTAATGAGGATGTTACTTCCCACTAGAGATATTTTGGAAACAAGGGGCATTTTTTTGTTTGCCATAACTGGGGGTACTCTAGTAAGGCTGCTAACATGCCAGTATGTGAGATAACTCTGCAACATGCACTGTCCTGCACTATTTTCTATGTTCTGCTATATATTTAAAAACATAAGCCTGGACTTGAATGTCATTTTATACATAAACAGAGTAATTTGTACCGTTTTAATATACCCGAATTTTTTAGAAATGGCTGAATAAAACTAAGACTGTATTTTTTCTTAGAACTTTACCAAAAGTTACTTATTTTGAAAAATTATGTCACGAAGAGCTAAGCTGCTTGTGGTGCTTGACAACATTACTATGCAATTATTTCAGTCTGAATTTGTATATGTGGCATTGTTGATGATGTCACATATAGGTACAAGGATAAAACTACATTTGGTGTCTTTCAGGGTAGCTGTGCCCAAATACTTATATATCAGATTTTATTTAAATCACTTTCCTTTATGTTGTATGTGTGTGTATGTATTTGGGCATAAGTCTCTTTTTAAAATTACACAGATAAGTTATTTTATCTTTAACTTTCACTTCAGCATCATTAATTACTAATTATTTATGTTTAAAAGGGGCACTGGGCCTGAATTTGGAAGTAGGGATGAGGGAGAGGTAGGAAGGAGAATTCAAATGGTCACAAAAGGAATGTTGGTGGTAGTTTCAGAGACCACTGAATTTTCAAAAACACCACAGTTCCGTTCAAAAAAATTTTTTATTCCCCTCTTTATCCTTTACCTTTAAGAAGGTGATCAACAGGAACAGGAAAGTTAATGACTGGGAATAAGCTTCGTTTTCACATATTTTAAGTTTCTCAGGAGCCCTCCAAAAGAACAAAGAACTTTTTTTTAAAGTTCACCTTTGCAATCAAAATTAGTTAAAATTTTAAAAAATTCAAATGCTTGCTTTATTCAAATATATAAAGGACTAAGGTAATACTTAGTAATACTTAATCATATTTGCTTTCTGTCAAAATGTTGTCATTGTTAAAAAATTAGTGTCTCTACTATTTTCAAACTTGTGTTTAATTTCTGGTGATCCCAGAATCTCAATTCCAAAAACTCATTATTTCTTCTGGAAGCTTTTAATGAGGTCAAATTTCTATGTTGTCTTCTTATGAATTTGCAACTGTGCTTTTTGTGCCATGTCATTATATATTTTCTCCACTTGACTATAAGCTCAAGCAGGACAGGGACTATTTTTGATCATCACTGTTCCGAAGTATCAGAATTTGGCCTATACTGGAAGCTTAGTACATACTTATTGATTCATGCAGAGCTAGTATCCCTGATTTTGTCACATATTGGCTGTGTGATTTGGACTAAATAGTTATTCAAGTTTTGTTTCCTCCTGTGATAACTGAGGATAATAATACCTACTTTACTAAGTTCATTTTTGTTAACGATGACCTTCAGGATCCCCTTTCCTTTGTGTTATAGCTCCTCTAGGTCCCACATGTTCATTGGCCTGAACTCTTAAAACTCTAACCTGGGCAGAACCTTAAAATCGAATGTAACCCTGTAAGTTTGGAATGGCATGGCATCCAATGAATTCATACATGGAACTCAATAAATAGTTATTACTCCCACTATTAAGAATTGTTCACTGTCCAATAGAACAAGACAGATAGCACAATATCATGCTACAAATGTGGTAATGCTATGAAGAAGAAGCAAAATTATATGCAAATTAAGAAAGTTAATTTCTGAAGGGTCAAGGAAGGTTGCATAGGAAGTGGCTTTTATCTTACCTGAAGGATAGATAGGATCCTATAGATGTAGGATGGAGAGCAACAGTCTAGGAATGAATTAACATCATCTAACATACCAGAACTTACTTAAGAGAATGTGGTCCTAAAGTCACTGGGTAGTTCTGGGAGCTCTTTGTCTGTTTCTTCCTTCTTTCTCCCCAGAGAACCTTCCAAATTCTTCTCTCCTCAATCCCTCTAAGAAACCCCTATTCCTGTTCTCTCCTTGATTTACAAGAAAAAAGGAGACCAACGGGCATGAACTCCCTCAACTTGCCACATGTAAGATGTTCTGTCTGTCCTTCCTTCACTTCCTACCTCTTTCTCTTCAGTACTTAATTCACGAAAAATAATTTCAGTACAATGTATAATGACAAAGAAGCCTAATAAAATACCATTATTTTTGAGAGAACAGCATTTTTTGAATGAATCAGACCTGGTGGATTAAATAAAGTGTGGTTAACTGCCTGCAGAGCAGCCCAAATAGAATCACCTGCCTTTACCTTGAGCTCTCCAGGCTTCTTCTCCTCAGAGGACTTGCAGCGGGTGATCTCCTGCAGCTTCTGCTCCAGGGGCTCCAGGCACTTCTGCAATTTTTCCTGAGGGTGGAAGTGGGAGAGGGGGCATTTGGGGTTGGCTGGCACATCCTACATTCAGAGGTTAACTCACTTATTTTAAACCCATTTATTTGCTTCCTACCCATCTCATCACCTCTTGATCCCACTTCCTTCCTTGCCTGTCATTTGGGGTGTCAATTTCTGGTCCCTCCTCCTGCCACCAGCCTGTCCCCATCATATTCCTTGCTCACCAAACTTTCCTCTCACTGAATCTCACAGTTGTCCAGCTGTCACCAACTCCATGTCTTTCCCCAATCCTATCATTTTCTTACTCAAGTGGCTGCCTTTTATGGTCAAAGTGACTTTCTGTATTCTGGTATCCTTCTTTACACTTGTCCTGCTATCCAACACAAACCATCTACAAATATAATAAAGTCTTTATTACTTATACTGTATACTACTTTAAATCTTGTGTCCAAGATTTTATTAACATAATTAAAAAAATACTTGGTCAGTGCTAAGATGTTAAAATCTTTAGTTCTTATTACATGAACATTTACCCTGTGTCCCAACAGTAATTAAATCAGATACCACATTATCTATTATCTAGGCAGATACAAATGGCAGACAAGTTCAGCTTAGTCTGGTGGGGGATCAGCCTAACGAATGTTATCTATTCCCACTACCAATGGGAATATAAGGAACATTCTGAGTAGGGGGACAGAATGAAGAAATCAAACCACTTTTCAGTTCTTCCTAAATTTGATCATCTCCAAGTGGTTTCATTAATTTATAAAAAATGATACATTGTAAGACCACACAAACCAATATTCCACGTAAGACTCAAATGATGTTAGGAAAAGTCAGAAAGCAATTTTGAGGCACTGCTCAAAACTTGTCATGCTTGAGGATAACTGATCAGATGTACTGTGTGCCCTCTGTGTATGTAGCTCTGAGGGGACTAGAGAGTAAGGACCAGATACAGTCTTGCCCTCAGGAGCTTAGGATTCTCTACCCAGGGAGTCTCCCATCCTCTGTACTCCTCCCTCTTGCCCCACATTGGTGTCATGTGTCTGGTTCCCCACCTTGTACTCCTGTGTGGCATCATCCAGTGGCACGACGGTATGGGCCCGGTGGGTGTGGGAAATTGCACATATCAAACATACAGCCTCCTGGTCCTCATAGCAAAAGAGGCTGAGGGCCTCATGGTGCTGGGGGCAGAGGCTTTCATCTCGGATCTTCCGCTTGACAGCCTGGAGCTGCTTGGCTATTTCCACCATACTGCCTAGTTGTCGATTAGGCCGGAGACTGCGGTAGCGGGATGTCTTTCGACAGACAGGACAAGGGAAGTCCCTCTCTAGGTCCTCCCACCAGCGCGTGATGCAAGCTTTGCAGAAGTTGTGCCCACACTCAATGATGACAGGCTCCTTCAGATACTCCAGGCACACAGAGCAACTAGCTTCCACCTGTAAGTTCTCCAGTGCCGCAGCTGTGGAGGCTGCAGAGGCCCCAGCATCTAAGAGACTTGTCTCTGCCATTATTTAACTTAGGGATGGAAAGGGGGCAGAGAAAGATAAATATTAGTTGGAAGTTTAGTTTTTTGGTATCCCTGGCCTGACATTTACTCCCATGATAAATCCTAACTCTGGTTAGTCCTATTTTGGTATTTTACTCTTCCCTTCCACTAGATTCAACTTTTTTTTTTTTTTTTTTTAAAGTAGGCTCCATGCTCAGCGTGGAGTCAAACACAGGGCCTGAACGCAGGACCCTGAGACCTGAACCAAGGTCAGGAGTTGGACACCTAACTGACTGAGCTATCCAGGCACCCCTCACCCTCGTTTTTGCTTGTTTCCAAAACCTGTGACTCCCAGCCACCAATCTATTTTTTTTTTTCCTCCTCAACACAGACACCCAACACCCATCTCTTTTGTCTTTACCTCTGCTTTTTCATTAGAGGCTTCCTTCAATCCTACCCCAGCATACTTCTCCTGATCCAGACTTATCCCACATGTGTCTTAAAACCAGACCAATGTATCCCTGGTTTGACATGTTTTTCTAATAGACGAGAAAGGGGCTTGGGAAACTGAAAGGTGCTATAAAAGTCAAAGTATTACTTAAGATTTCTTAAGTATATTTTAAGGTTTAATATGACAGAAGAATTTTATTACAATAGCTCCTTGAAGCACAAGCTTCTCTGCCACTGTTCTCTCACTCTTTCAAAGGGTGAAAAAAGGAATAAGTTAGGCAAGAGTAACAAGCTCTTCTTTTCAGGAAATTTGAAATTACTCTTTATTAGACTAGTCTAGAGAAAGTGTGCCTCTTGGAGTGAAATGATTCACACAACATCCCATATCTTTGTGTGCACTTGGATATTTGGAACTGCTGAAGAGTGATAAATAGGTGGCAACTACACTAAAGAGTATATTAGTAAATACTTCTTGAAAAAATATACTTCTTGGAAAGAGGGCTGAGGAAGTCTTTTCTAAATATTCAGCAGTGATTGGAGTCTTTTGAAATAGCCACTGAAAACTAATTCCTTGGAGGTACTGTACCTCCAACTAATAGGTTCCAGAGTGGTTGGGAATTAGAGAAAGAAAAGTAAAGAGTCAATCAAAGTCTTCCTCAAGTGAAGGCTCAAAATACTGGAAATGCATCAAAGGGATTTATAAAGCAGAAGGCTGGTCCCCCACTCCTTCCTTGAAAATCACCACTTTTATCCATGAAATAGTTGATTTCTCTATCTACCCCCTCTTCCCCTCCACACCAAGAGACCCAACAGGAGAAAGGAAATTTAGTAGGTCTAAGTGCTAAGAGAAGAGTGGCCATGTAATGAGTTGGGTTAACAATGATTATTGTATATACTGATGGCACACATGAAAAGTGTTTTAATTTGGAATAGGAACTGATAACTTATTTGGACCTGAACTCTTCCCTCAACCAGGAGAGAAGTTCAGTCAGATGATTCTTCTTTTCCGAAGGGAAATCAACTTCAACTAGTGAACCTGCCCCCTTCTTCTAGAAATTAGGCACTCTCCTCACCTGGGGTGAGTTGTACTGTACGCAGAGTTAGGGACCAGGATGGATCTAGACTGGCAAATAAGTGGTGTGAAAGAGAAATGGAGAAAAGGTTAGGAAAGCAGAGAGAGGACTTGAAGTTACAACCCAGAGTGAGGTGTCTCTGGGTTGGTCATTTCGTTCCCTCTATTCCTAGTGTCTCAGTAGAAGGGCAAACTTCAGGGACATCCTTATTTTGTTTCTACCACTGTCTGGGGTCCCACCTTGCGACCCTTTCCTGAGCGTCGTCCACAACTCAGTCCCACCCTCGTCTCCATCTTCTCTCGCCAGATCTGGCGTAAAGGGATTGGAGAGGGGGAAAGGAAACGTAGTGGTTGACAGGGAGGGAGGAATGCGTGTCCAGGTGAGGAGGATGTGTGACGTGAAGGTGGGATGCCTGCCGCTATGACGCAGCCGAGGCCCGCGGTGACGGAGTCAGAGTTTCACCCGGGGAGGTGAGCGGCAGCGGGACGGGGGAACGGCGGGGTAGCCAAGCAACGCCGGACGCGCTGACGTCGCCGGGGCGGCAAAACGTCCGCCCGGGCCCGAGGCGGGCGGAGGCAGCTGTGGTTACGTGCGGGGGGCCGGTGACGCAGTCGCGGGGCGCTGGGACGCGGCGTGCGGAGCCGGCCGGCAGGGACAGGCCCCAAGGCCCGGGCGCGGCGGCGGGACAGCACCTACCTTCCCGGCTTCAGGTCCGGGAGTGCGGGGCGCGGAGCCGCCGGAGCGCTGCCTCCCTCCTTCCTCCTCCCCCCGCCCCCGCCCCGCAGCGCGACACACAATACTCGCCGGAAGCGGAAGCCGCGCGGAGAGGCTCGTGTCAGTGGAAGTCGGGGTGTCGGCTGCCCGCCGCGGGAAGGCCTAGCGGTGCCTGCGGGAGGTGGAAAAGGAGGGGGGTCAGAGGTGAGAACCAGCTGGAGGAGTCAGGAACGAGAATGGACCCGGAGGGGCAGGTGTCTGAAATGTGGTCGTCCAGGTGACCGGAGGACTCCTCTGGAGAAAGAAGGCCGCGCATGCGCCTGGTGGAGCGCTGAAGCCCCATTGCCCGCAGGGCGCCGGCGGGAGCACAGGACGGTGGCTGTCCCGCCAGGCTCGGGGGCCGGCTCTGGCCACGCTTGCTGGTCCTGGGTGGGGCTGGGAGCCGCTGAGGGCAGGGCAAGGGCGGCTGCGGACTTTGAGCTACACTTATCCTCTCTTCAGGTCAGTCCAGAGAGAAGGTGGCGAGCTGAAGCGGCGGCCAGTTACGTGGCGGACCTGCGGGTCTCAGCTGGCACGTCACTTCCGACTGGTTGAGTTTTAGCCTTTTAACATTCCAGGATTAGGTAAGTTGTCCCTTCCCTGGGCTTCAAATGCTCTTCGCTCTACCCTCTCCAGGCGGGCTTAAAGACATTGTTTACCTCCCCCAGTGGAGTGAAAGTCTTGCCTTTCTGCTGCTCAGGTTTTTATCTTCAACTCGCTCGGCGGCTGACCGCAAGCAAGCTTGCAATAAACCGCGGTTAAAGTGGTTGCTGCCTAACGCTCATTCTTTCCACTTTGGAGGCTATGACTCCAGATTGTCCCAAAGAGCAGATGATGCTTGTGTGGGGACTCCAGACTTTTGCATTATAGCCTCCCTGCTTTCCTCTTCTACTGGAAGCTTTGGAGGCCTGTGACTTTGGAGGAAGAGCCTGCTGAAAGAAGTATGTTGAAACTAGGGATGAGATGCTGAAAAGAGGATGGAGCTGGGGAGGACCTAGTGCAGGGTAGAATAATGATGAGACTGGAGAGGAGTTGGTGCTAGGAGTGTCTGATATTGTTCATCAAAAAGTCAGCTTGTCCCACCTTCTCTCCCCCAATACTTGGCATGCAGAATGAAAGACATAGGCAAATTTTGGTGTACCCATTTCTAGGAGGAAATGGCTGAAGGGCCCATCTTGTTCCTGTGTAAGTTGTGATGTTTACAAACACAGTGTAGTCTTTAACCCTACATCCTGGGAGCCAGAAACTGTTTACTTGCAGAAAACATCAAATGTGCGAGGTATAGGGGATAGGGGTTTAGGATCAGGCATACTAATATAATTGGTCTCCTTGAGCTTTTTTTTCTGGTAGCCAATGATTTGAAGAGGATTAGACTTGGGAAAATTATTTTTCTCATTGTTATTTGACTGTTAGGAATTTTAGCTGTGGTAAAATTTAGTTTATAAAACGCCTCAATCTTTTTTTTTTTTTGAAATTTTATATAATTATTTGAGAGAGAGTGCACGAGAGAGAGAGAGAGAGAGAGATCAGGAGCACGTCAGAGGGAAAGGGAGAAGTGGAGACCCGGCTGAGCAGGGGGCCTGTTGAGGGACTCATCCCAGGACTCCAGGTATCATGACCCAGGGGGAATGCAGAAGGCTAACTGACTGAGCCACCTGGGTGCCCAAAACACCTCAGTTTTAAGATAGGGTAGTTTGAAAGCCACTAACTGAGGGGTCAGCCACTTTAGCTTTGCTTTGGAGGGAGGGTGGTGATGGTGAGGTTTGGTTCTGGTTTTGATTTGTTCATTTGTAACTTTTTAAAGTGTTGCTAGCATTCCATACTGGCTTTCTGTTTGTAGGTAACCATTCCGAGGAGGAAGAGTATTTCAAAAAGTCTGTGAAGAATGTGTTTGCCTGGAGACTGATTATTAACAAGATTTTATGCTGAATATGGAAGGAAAGGTGAGAGAATGTTTAGATAAAAATATAAAATTACGGGGCGCCTGGGTGGCTCAGTGGTTTAAGCCTCTGCCTTTGGGCCAGATCATGATCTCAGGGTCCTGGGATCGAGCCCTGCATCAAGCCCTGCATCTCTGCTCAGCAGGGAGCCTGATTCCCCCTCTCTCTCTGCCTGCCTCTCTGGCTACTTGTGATCTCTCTCTCTCTATCACATAAATAAATAAAATCTTAAAAAAAAATTATGTAGGGCATGTACTAGGATATAGAATAGGGGTTGGCAAATCTTTCCTGTAAAGAACCAGATAAGCTGTATTTTCTGCTTTGAGGCTCATACTTCCTCTGTATTTGTAGTGTGAAAACAGTGTTAGTACTAAATGAATGAGAATTGCTTTGTTCCAATAAAACTTCTTGTATGGACACTGAAATTTGAATTTCATATATCATAAAATACTTATTTTTCTTTTGATTTAACTCCTAATCATTTAAAAATGTAAAAACCATTTTTTTAAAAGATTTTGTTTATTTATTTGTCAGAGAGAGTGAGCACAGGTAGACAGAGTGGCAGGCAGAGGCAGAGGGAGAAGCAGGCTCCCTGCCGAGCAGGGAGCCCAATGCGGGACTCAATCCCAGGACGCTGGGATCATGACCTGAGCCGAAGGCAGCCGCTTAACCAACTGAGCCACCCAGGCGTCCCTGTAAAAACCATTTTTAGTTTGTAGGCCATATAAACACAGGTACCCCGATATAGAACAATAATGAAGTACCCAGGATGTTTCAAGAGAGAGTAATTGCGAACAAGGGTGAACACAATGTTGTGATATCTTATTTCTATCTGTGTGAAATATTACATAAAATAATAATAAAGGAAATCTTAAATCTTAACCCACATTTATTATGACTTGTGAAACTTGGTAAGTTGAGATTTATGAATATAGTAGGATATAAGTACATTCTTTTTTTTTTTTTTAAGATTTTATTTATTTATTTGACAGAGAGAGATCATAAGTAGGCAGAGAGGCAGGCAGAGAGAGAGAGAGAGGAGGAAGCAGGCTCCCTGCCAAGCAGAGAGCCCGATGCGGGGCTTGATCCCAGGACCCTGAGATCATGACCTGAGCCGAAGGCAGAGGCTTAACCCACTGAGCACCCAGGTGCCCCTACAAGTACATTCTTTAAACAAACTGTTTTCCTTGTTCAGAATTGAAAGGAATTGTAGTTCAGGGGACGGAATAATGCTGAGGTATAATGTTGATTTATTTATATCAAGGCATTTCCACCAAAGGAGTGTGCAAAAATGCATTACAGTAATGACATGGAGAATTAAAATAAAATATATACATTGTAATATATTTTTAAAAAATTTATACCTAAATTCAATTTAGTTAACATATAGTGTATTATTAGTTTCAGGGATAGAATTTAGTGATTCATCAGTTGCATGTAAGACCCAGTGCTCATTATATCAAGTGTCCTCAGTTACCCCATTCCGCACTTAATTCCCCTCCAGCAACCCTCAGTTTGTTCCCTGTAGTTTGGAGTCTCTTATGGTTTGTCTTCTCTGTATCTTACTTGTTTTCCTTCCCTTCCTCTGTGTTCATCTGTTTTGTTTAGAAAATTCCAGATAGGAATGAAATCATATGGTATTTGTCTTTCTCTGATTGACTTGTTTTGCATAGCCTAATACCCTCTAGTTCCATTCATTTTGTTGCAAATGGCAAGATTTCATTCTTTTTGATGGCAGAGTAATATTCCATATTGTATATATAACACATCTTTTTTTTTTCCTCTATAAGTGAAAAGCCAAATTGGGCTTTTTTTTTTTTTTTAAAGATTTTGTTTATTTTTGTGAGCGTGTACACATGATTGGGTGGTGGGGTGCAGAGGGAGAAGCAGATTCCTGCAGAGCCAGGAGCCCAATGTGAACTTGATCCCAGGACCCTGGAATCATGATCTGAACCGAAGGCAGACCCTTAACCAACTGAGCCACCCAGGTACCCTGGGCTTTTTTTTTTTTTTTCCAACTTAAAATCAATTTAATTAATATATGGTATATTATTATTTCTAGGGGTAGAATTTAGTGATTCATCAGTTGCATATAACACGCAGGGCTCATTATATCAAATGCCCTCCTTAATGCCCATCACCCAGTTACTCTATGCCCCCATCTACTTCCCCAACAGCAACTGTGTTTGTTTCCTAGAGTTAAGAGTCTTTTATGGTTTGTCTCCCTCTCTGATTCCGTCTTACTTTTTTTTTTCCTTTCCTTCCCCTATGTTTGCTTTATTTCATAAATTTAAATATTTCCACTAATGTGGATATGAATGAAAATAATATATTTGTTTTTTTAATGTCATTCTATTTTATTTTATTTATTTTTATTATTTTAGTTTAGCTTAGTTTCAGTATTCCAAGATTTATTGTTTATGCACCACACCCAGTGCTCCATGCAATATGTGCTCTCCTTATTACCCAGCACCAGGCTCACCCAACACCCTCCCATCCTCCTCCTCTCCAAAACCCTCAGTTTGTTTCTCAGAATCCACAGTCTCTCATAGTTCGTTAACACCTCCGATTTACCCCAATTCACTTCTCTCCAGCTCCCAGTGTCCTCTGTGTTATTCCTTATGCTCCAGAAGTAAGTGAAACCATATGATAATTGACTCTCTCTGCTTGACTTATTTTACTCAGCATAATCTCCAGTCCCGTCCATGTTGATACAAAAGTTGGGTATTCATCCTTTCTGATGGAAGCGTAATATTCCATTGTAAATATGGACCACATCTTTATCCATTCGTCTGTTGAAGGGCATCTTGGCTCTTTCCACAGTTTGGCGACTCGCCATTCCTGCTATGAACATTGGGGTACAGGTGGCTCTTCTTTTTTTTTTTTTTTTAAAGATTTTATTTATTTATTTGACAGAGATCACAAGTAGGCAGAGAGGCAGGCAGAGAGAGAGAGAGGAGAAGCAGGCTCCCTGCTGAGCAGAGAGCCCGATGTGGGGCTAGATCCCAGGACCCTGGGATCATGACCTGAGCCGAAGGCAGAGGCTTTAACCCACTGAGCCACCCAGGCGCCCCCAGGTGGCTCTTCTTTTAACTATATCTATATCTTTGGGGTGAATATCCAGTAGTGTAATTGCAGGGTCATAGGGTAACTCTGTTTTTTTTTTTTTTAAGATTTTATTTATTTATTTGACAGAGATCACGAGCAGGCAGAGAGGCAGGCAGAGAGAGAGAGGGGGAAGCAGGCTCCCCGCTGAGCAGAGAGCCTGACTCGGGGCTCGATCCCAGGACCCTGGGACCATGACCTGAGCCAAAGGCAGAGGCTTTAACCCACTGAGCTACCCAGGCGCCCCAGTAGCTCTGTTTTTAATTTCTTTTTTAAAAAATTTTATTTATTTTTTAAATTTCTTTTCAGTGTTCTAGAATTCATTGTTTATGCACCATACCCAGTGCTCCATGCAATACATGCCCTCCATAATACCCACCACCAGGCTCACCCAACCTCCCACCCCCCGCCCCTCCAAAACCCTCAGTTTGTTTTTCAGAGTCCACAGTTTCTCATGGTTCGTCTCCCCCTCCAATTTCCCCCAACTCCCTTCTCCTCTCCATCTCCCCATGTCCTCCGTTATTTTTTATGCTCCACAAATAAGTGAAACCATATGATAATTGACTCTCTATGATTGATTTATTTCACTCAGCATAATCTCTTCCAGTCCTGTCCATGTTGATACAAACGTGGGGTATTCATCCTTTCTGATGGAGGCGAAATACTCCATAGTATATATGGACAACATCTTCCTTATCCATTCGTCTGTTGCAGGACATCTTGGTTCTTTCCACAGTTTGGCGACTCTCACCATTGCTGCTATGAACATTGGGGTACAGATGGCCCTTCTTTTCACTACATCTGTATCTTTGGGATAAATACCCAGTAGTGCAATTGCAGGGACATAGGGAAGCTCTATTTTTAATTTCTTAAGGAATCTCCACACTGTTTTCCAAAGTGGCTGTACTAACTTGCATTCCCACCAACAGTGTAAGAGGGTTCCCCTTTCTCCACATCCTCTCCAACACATGTTGTTTATTGTCTTGTTAATTTTGGCCATTCTAACTGGTGTAAGGTGGTATTTCAGTGTGGTTTTGATTTGAATCTCTGTGATGGCTAATGATGATGAACATTTTTTTCATGTGTCTGTTAGCCATTTGTATGTCTTCATTGGAGAAGTGTCTGTTCATGTCTTCTGCCCATTTTTTGATGTGATTATCTGTTTTGTGTGTGTTGAGTTTGAGGGGTTCTTTATTAGATCTTGGATATCAGCCCTTTGTCTGCAGTGTCATTTGCAGATATCTTCTCCCATTCTCTGGGTTGCCTCTTTGTTTTGTTGACTGTTTCCTTAGTTGTGCAGAAGCTTTTGATCTTGATCAAGTCCCAAAGGTTCATTTTCCCTTTGTTTCCTTTGCCTTTGGAGACATATCTTGAAAGAAGTTGCTGTGGTTGATGTCAAAGAGGTTACTGCCTATGTTCTCTAGGATTTTGATAGATTCCTGCTTCACATTGAGGTCTTTTATCCATTTTGAGTTTATCTTTGTGTATGGTGTAAGAGAATGGTCGAGTTTCATTCTTCTATGCATAGCTGTCCAATTTTCTCAGCGCAGTTTATTGAGAGACTGTCTTTTTTCCACGGATATTTTTTCCTGCTTTGTGGAGGATTAGTTGATTATAGAGTTGAGGGTTCATATCTGGGCTCTCTACTCTCTTCCACTGGTCTATGTGTCTGTTTTTGTGCCAGTACCTTGCTGTCTTGGTGATCACAGCTTTGTAGTAAAGCTTGAAATCAGGCAACGTGGTGCTCCCAGTTTTGTTTTTCTTTTTCAACATTTCCTTAGCAATTTGGGGTCTCTTCTGATTCCATACAAATTTTAGGATTGTTTGTTCCAGCTCTTTGAAAAATGCCAGTGGAATTTTGATCAGAATGGCATTGGAAGTATAAATTGCTCTAGGCAGTATAGACATTTTAACAATGTTTATTCTTCCAATCCATGAGCATGGCCTACTTTTCCATCTTTTTGTGTCTTCAGTTTCTTTTTTGAGTATTCTGTAGTTCCTCGAGTACAGATCCTTTACCTCTTTGGTTAGGTTTATTCCCAGGTATCTTATGGTTTTTGGTGCTATAGTAAATGGAATCGATTCTCTCATTTCCCTTTCTGTGTTTTCATTGTTAGTGTATAGGAAAGCAACTGACTTCTGTACGTTGATTTTGTATACTACTTCATTACTGAATTGCTGTATGAGTTCTAGTAGTTGGGGGTGGAGTCTTTTGGGTTTTGCATAGAAAGTATCATGTCCTTTGCAAAGCGAGAGAGTTTGACTTCTTCATTGCCAATTCGAATACCTTTTATTTCTTTTTGTTGTCTGATTGCTGTTGCTAGGACTTCTAATACTATGTTGAACAAGAGCGGCGAGAGTGGGCATCCTTGTGTTCCTGATCTCAAAGGGAAGGCTGTCAGCTTTTCCCCATTGAGGATGATACTCGTTGTGGGTTTTTCATAGATAGATTTTATAAAGTTGAGGAATGTTCCCTCTATCCTTATACTTTGAAGTGTTTTAATTAGATAAGGATGCTGTATCTTTTTTTTTCTTTTATTATGGTTTTTTTAAAATTTTTTTATTTTTTCAGCATAACAGTATTCATTATTTTTGCACCACACCCAGTGCTCCATGCAATCCGTGCCCTCTCCAATACCCACCACCTGGATCCCCCAACCTCCCACCCCCCGCCCCTTCAAAACCCTCAGATTGTTTTTCAGAGTCCATAGTCTCTCATGGTTCACCTCCCAAGGATGCTGTATCTTGTCAAATGTTTTTTCTGCATCAATTGAGAGGACCCGGTGGTTCTACTCTATTCTCCTACTGGTTTATTCTATCACATTGATTGATCTGTGAATGTTGAAGCACCCTTGCATCCCATGGATAAATCCCACCTGGTCATGGTGGATAATCTTTTTAATATACTGTTGGATCCTATTAGCTAGGATCTTGTTGAGAATCTTGGCATCCGTATTCATCAGGGATGTTGGTCTGAAATTCTCCTTTTTGATGGGTCTTTGCCTGGTTTCCTCTTAGGACCTCTTTTGCTGTATCCCACAGGTTTTGAACTGTCGTGTTTTCATTTTCATTTATTTCTGTTTGCTTTTTAAATTCTTCTTTAATTTCCTGGTTGACTCATTTATTCTTTAGAAGGATGCTTCTTAACCTCCATGTATTTGTTCCTTCCAGAATTTCTCTTGTGATTGAATTTTTAAGTGGGTAGTCTGAAAATATGCATGGTATAACCTCATTCTTTTGGTATTGGTTGAGGACAGATTTGTGACCCAGTGTGTGATGTATTTTGAAGAAAGTTCCATGTGCACTTGAGAGGAATGTGTATTCTGTTGCTTTAGGATGAAATACTCTGAATATATCTTTGAAGTCCATCTGGTCTAGTGCGTCATTCAAAGCCCTTATTTCCTTGTTGATCTTCTGCTTAGATGATCTGTCCATTGCTGTGAGTGGGGTGTTAAAGTCCCCTACTATTACTGTATTAGTATTAATGTGTTTCTTTAAGCTTGTTATTAATTGGTTTATATATTTGGCTGCTCCAAGTTAGGGGCATAAAGATTTATAATTGTTAGATCTTCTTGGTGGATAGACCCTTTTATTTCAATACTGTGTCCTCCTTCATCTCTTTACACTCTTTGTTTTAAAGTCTGATTTCTCCAGTGTAAGGATTGCTACCCCTGCTTTCTTTTGATGTCCGTTAGCATGATAAATTGTTCTCCACCCCTCACTTTCAATCTGGAGGTGTCTTTGGGTCTAAAATGAGTCTTTTGTAGACATCATATTAATGGGTCTTGTTTTTTATCCAATCTGATATCCTGTGTCTTTTGATTGGAGCATTTAGTCCATTTACATTGAGAAATTATTGAAAGATACCAGTTTAGTGGCATTGTATTACCTGTAAAGTCACTGTTACTGTAGATTATCTCTCTTCTTTTCTGAGCTTTGTTTCTTTTGGATGCTCTCTTTCTCAGGAAACCCCCTTTAATATTTCTTTCAGGGCTGATTTAGTGTTTACAAATTCCTTTAGTTTTTGTTTATCCTAGAAACTATCCCTTCTTCTATTCTGAATGACAGCCTTGTTAGATAAAGTTTTCTTGGCTGCATATTTTCCGTACTTTGCACAGTGAGTATGTGATGCCAGTCCTTTCTGGCCTGCCAGGTCTCTGTGGATGGGTCTCCTGTTAGTCAGATGTTTCTACCCTTGTAGGTTATGGACCTCTTGTCCCGAGCTGCTTTCAGGATTTTCTCTGAAATTTGCAAGCTTCACTATAATATGTGGAGGTGTTGACCTATTTTTATTGATTTTGAGGGGGGTTCTCTGTGCCTCCCAGACTTGATTTGCTGTTTCCTACCCCAGGTTAGGGAATTTCTCAGCCACAATCTGTTCATATAAACCTCTTGTCCCTCTCCTTTTTTTCCCGAGACACCTATTATTTTAATACTATTTTGCTTCATGGTATCGCTGATTTCTTGAATCTTTCCTTCATGAGCCAGTATGTTTCTCTCTTCCTCAGCTTCCTTAATCTCCATCATTTTGCCTTCTATAACTATCTCTTCTGCCTCGTTTAATCCTAGCTGTTAGGGCCTCCCTTTTTTACTGTATCTCAGTAATAGAATTTTTAATTTCAGCCTGATTAGATTTTAGTTCTTTTTTTTTCTCCAGTAAGGGCTTCTCTAGTGTCTTAGATGCTTTTTTAAACCCAGCTAATATCTTTATAATTGTTTTGAAAACTAGTTCTGACATCTTACTCAGATCCATATTGATTAAATCTCTGGCAGTGAGTACTACCTCCTGTTCTTTCTTTTGGGGTGTGTTTTTCTGTCTCATTATGTCCAGAAAAGAATAAATGAAAGAGAGAAAAAATAGAAAAATAACAACAACACCAGAAAAATACAAACTAAACAAACTAGAAGAAAAGCAGAAAGAAAACAAAATAAAAAAATCAAACAAGAAGTAAAATGGAACAGAACAATAAACTAGATCCTGGGTGTATTTTGGTCTTTGTGTTAAAGGAATCTAGATCCCAAAAGAGGAAAGAAAAAAGAACTTTCATGTATACTAAAATAAAATGAAAAGAAACTAAAAACAAGGAACATATATTTTATATATATATTATATATATTTATAAACATATATGTTATATATGTATATAAAATAAACATTTTATATATATATAAATTAAATAAACATAAAATATATATTTCTCTCTCTCTCTATATATATATATATAAAGAATTAGGGGCGCCTGGGTGGCTCAGTCGGTTAGACAGCTGTCTTTGTCTCAGGTCATGATCCCTGATGGAGTACTGGGATGGAGCCCTACATTGGGTTCCCTGTTCAGCAGAGAGCCTGCTTCCCCGCTCCCTCTGCCTGCTGTCGTACCTACTTGTGCCCTCTCTTTGTGCCAAATAAATAAAATCTAAAAAAAGAATAAAAAAATTAATAAATTAAGAAAATTACTTAAGAAAAAACTAAGAGATTACAGAGTAATAAAAAAGCCACTAATGCTACGTACTGTTTTTCCCGCTAGCTGAATTTTTGCAGTTCTCTATGATCTATAAATTTGGTGTTAGCCGGATGTTCCTGCTTGTCTTCTGGACGTGGGGCCTGTGTTGTTGCCCTGGTGAAATGTTGGCCCCTTTGTCAGGGGTTCCCAGCTCAGTGTAAGCAGCTCCAGATTGCACTGTATGGCACTGTTTTGCTCCCTGAAGGCTTTCAGCACCACTTGGGATGAAAATGGCAGCACCCCAGTCTCTAGCCCGAGCTGAAAGTTCACACCCCCACTCTCAGTGAGCCCTCACAGAAAAGCACTCAATCACTCTGTCTCCCTGGTTTCTGTGCTGTGTTCACCCAGCCTATGACTGAACGTTTTTATCTCAGGCACACAACCAAGTTTCCAGTCTCCTAACTTCACAGATTCCTGTGGTGTGGACTTGTGCCATTCCTCCCCGCTGAGGGAGGAGGGTCTTGCCAGGCTACTGCCTTTTACAAGGCCCCTGCTTGGAGAATGGTTGTACCATTGTGCAGCAGTTCATGGTTTATGGCAACATGGAACAAAAAACTGATTCCTAGACTGGTGTTTCGGCCAGCTTCCCTGAAACGACTGCATTCAGACATCCTGGCTTTTTCTGACCCCTGGTATCTTGTGACAACATTGTCCTACCTGGAATCCACCCCACTTTGCTACCAGAGCAACTTAAAGCCAGGGATGTCTCCAAGTGTAGCAGACTTCTAAAACTTAGGATTTTGTACTCCATTGCCTGTAAAATAGTTTCCGGTAGACCCCTTAAGCTCCCTCCTTTCCTTGGTTTATCTCCCAATATATCTCGCCCCGGATGCACATCTCTGCACTTTCTACCTTGTAAAAAGTGGTTGCTTTTTCTATTTGTAGAATTGCAGTAATTCTTTTCTCAGATCTCCAATTGATTTCATAGGTGTTCAGAATGATTTTGCAACGATCTAGTTGAATTCCAGGGACCAGACAAAATTAGGATCCCATACTCCTCTGCCATCTTAAATCCTACTGACCCATTTATTCTTTAGTAGGGTACTCTTTATCATCCATGTATTTGTGGTCCTTCCAAATTTTTTCTTGTGATTGAATTGAAGTTTTAAAGCATTGTGGTCTGAAAATATGCATGGTATAACCTTTTTTAAATTTAAATTCAATTTGCCACATTATAGTAGTTTTTGATATAATGTTCAATGAATCATTAGTTGCCATAATCTTAATCTTTTTGTACTGGTTGAAGACCTGATTTGTGACCCAGTGTGTAATCTGTTCTGGGGAATGTTCCATGTGCACTTGAGAGGAATGTGTATTCTGTTGCTTTAAGATGAAATACTCTGAATATATCTTTGAAGTCCATCTGGTCAAGTCTGTCATTTAAAGCCCTTATTTCCTTGTTAATCTTCTGCTTAGATGATCTGTCCTTTGCTTTGAGTGGGGCATTAAAGTCCCCTACTATTACTTTATTAGTATCAATGTATTTCTTTTTTTTTTTTTCTTAAGATTTTATTTATTTACTTGACAGATCACAAGTAGGCAGAGAGGCAGGCAGAGAGAGAGGGGGAAGCAGGCTCCCCACCGGGCAGAGAGCCCAATGCGGGGCTTGATCCCAGGACCCTGAGATCATGACCTGAGCTGAAGGCTTAACCCACTGAGCTCCATCAATGTGTTTCTTTAAGTTTGTTATTAATTGGTTTCTATATTTGGGTGCCCCATGTTAGGGACATAAACATTTACAATTGTTAGATCTTTTTGTTGGATAGACCCCTTTAATATGATGGTGTCCTTCTTTGTCTCTTCTTACAGTCTTTGGTTTAAAACCTTGTTCATGGGGCACCTGGGTGGCTCAGTCGTTGGGCATCTGCCTTCAGCTCTGGTTGTGATCCTGGGGTCCTGGGATCGAGACTGCTTGGTGGGAGGCCTGCTTCTCTCTCTCCCACTTCCCCTGCTCATGTTCCCTCTCTCGCTGTGTCTTTCTGTCAAATAAATAAATAAAATCTTAAAAAAAAATAAAACCTTGTTTGTCTGATACAAGTGTTGCTACTCCAGCTGCCTCTTCCTCCACACCTCATCTTCTGGGACCCCATTTACATGGATATTATTTTGCTTTATGGAATTGCTGAGTTTTCTGAATCTCCTTTGGTGATCTAATAGTTTCCTTTCTCTCTTTTTGGCTTTCTTATTTTTCATCATTTTATCTTATCACTGATTTGCTCTTCTGCTTCATTCATCCTTTTTTTTTTTTTTTTATAGCTTCCACTTGAGACTGCATCTCGGTAATAGCATTTTAAATTTCAGTCTGGCGGGACGCCTGGGTGGCTCAGTTGGTTGGACGACTGCCTTCGGCTCAGGTCATGATCCTGGGGTCCCGGGATCAAGTCCCACATCGGGCTCCCAGCTCCATGGGGAGTCTGCTTCTCCCTCTGACCTTCTCCTCGCTCATGCTCTCTCTCACTGTCTCGCTCTCAAATAAATAAATAAAATCTTTAAAAAAAAAAAAATTTCAGTCTGGCTAGATTTTAGTTCTTTTATCTCTGCAGTAGGGGATTCTCTAGTGTCTTCTATGCTTTTTTCAAGCCCAACTGGTATCTTTATACTCATTGTTTTAAATTCTAGTTCAGACATCTTAGTTACTTATCTGTATTGATTATATGTGCTGCCGAAGCAAGCACTCATCTGTATTGATTAAATCCCTGACAGCGAGTACTACCTCCTGTTCTTTCTCTGGGGGTGAGTTTTTCCACCTCGCCATTTGGAAAAGAAAAGAAGAAAGAAAGAAAAAACAATAAGAACAACAATGACAATGGAAAACAAACAAACAAACAAACAACAAAATCCAAACCAAACTGAAACAAAAGAAAAATCAACAAAAAAAACAAAAAATTAGATCCTGGGTTGTTTTGTTTTACTTGTTAAAAGAAACGAGATTCCAAGATAAGAAAGTAGAAAAACCTCTATACACATAAAAATGAAGTAGAATAAAATTCAACCAAAGGAAACACAAACTAAATATATATATATATGTGATATAAAAATTTAAAAAGAACAAAAAAATTTGAAAAAAATAGGAACATAACAAAAAATAATACTGAAAGCCTAAAGGCTAGAAAAACAATGCTATACAACTGTTTTCCCCAAGAGCTGAATCTTTGTAGCCTTCTATGATCCATAAACATGGTGCAAGCCAGTTGTGTGGCGCTGATTCTTAGATGTACTTGCTCTTGCAAATGTGCTTCTTTTGCCAGGAGGCTGGACTCAGTCTGAGTGGCTCCGGATTCCACTAGGTGGCACTGTTTTGCTCCCTGAAGGCTTTTGGCACCCATGCACAGGATGAAAATGGCGGGAGGCCTGCTTCTCCCTCTCCCACTCCCCCTGCTTGTGTTCCCTCTCTCACTGTGTCTCTCTCTGTCAAATAAATAAATAAAATATTAAAAAAAAAACAACAAAAAAACAAACTAACCCAAAACCTTGTTTGTCTGATAAAAGTGTTGCTACTTCAGCTGCCCCTTCCTCCCACACCTCATCTTCTGGGACCCCATTTGCATGGATATTATTTTGCTTTATGGAATTTCCCTAGCCCTTGAGCTGAGTTGTGTCCCCCACTCTTCAGTGAGCCTTCACAGAAAAGCAATCAATCACTCCTGTCTCCCTGGTTTCTCTCAGAACTCTGTGTTCACCCAGCATGTGACAGTGTTTTTATCTCAGGCACGCTGTTTTAAGTCACTAAATTTACAGACTCCTGCTACATGGACTTGCACTGTTCCTTCCTGCGGAGGATGGGAGGGCATCTCGCCATGTTTCTGCCTTTTGCTGGGCCCCTGCCTGGAGAGTGGATGCACAATGGTGGTGCAGTTCACAGTTTACGGCAACACAGAGCAGAAAACTGGCACCTAGACTTGTTGTTTTTGGCCGGCTTCCCATTCTTATTCCTGGGAACCTGCCACACTCAGGCACCCCTGTTCTTCTTGTGACCTCAGGGATCCTGAGACCACTCTGTCACACCTGGGATTCTGTCCCACCTTGCCACCTGAGTAGCTTTAAGTCAGGGACTTAGATCACTGTAGCAGACTTCTAAAAGTTACAGTTTTGCACCCTGCAAAATCATGCACATTCTTTGCACCCTGCAATTCTTCCAGCTGACTTCCTGATTGTACCTGCTCTCCAAGGTGAGAGGTGAGACAAAGCTTAGCCTCTTTCTTGCTCATGGCATTTCCTCTCACCCTGCCTTTGCTCCCTCCTGGAGTCTCCCTGATGGAGTGAGAGGAAAGCAAGTAGGATGGTAGGAACTTGACTTTCATGTTGTAAAGAGAAAATAAAACAGATGAACAAAGGGAAGGAAAAATAAGATAAAAATACAGAGGGAGCAAACCATAAGAGATTCTTAACTATAGGAAACAAACTGAGGGTAGCTGGAGGGAAGGTGGATGGGGGGATGGGATAACTGGGTGATGGGTTTTGAGGGAGGGCACTTGAAGTAATGAGCACTGGGTGTTATATGCCACTGATTAATCACTAAGTTCTACCCCTGAGACTAATAATACACTGTATGTTAACTAAATGGAATTTGTATGGATAAAAAGAAAAAAAAAAGGATGTCTGTCCTCAAGAAAGAGAAGGACTGCCTTATGGGGAGGACCGAGTACCTTGTGAGCCGGTAGACTGGAGGCTCAGTGTGTTGCTAGATGTAGGCAGGAGGCTGGCTTACTTTCTGGTCTTTCCAACACAGCTACTTGCTTTAGCAAAGCTAGCAAGTGGAGAAGATAGTAGAAAGTCAGCTGGCAAAATGGAAGTCATGATTATATATATTCCAAGATCACCACTGCCACATTTTATTGGTTGGAATATATTCCGGGTCCTGCCCACACTCAGTAGGAGGAGATTCCACAGGAATTGGGGACCATTGGCCTTACTATAGAATCTGTCTGCATGGGGATGTTCCAGGTGACAGATGACAGGAATGGAGGGTAGCAAGGTCTCTGCACTGCACATGCTCATACACAGGGTGCACAATCACCGAACAAGATAATTATCAACTCTGGGTTTGATATTGGACCAGATGATTTGCAGAGCTAAGCTGTGTTATCCAAGCAGGGTCCTAGATACAAGAATCATGGCTTTCACTTGGAAAGATCTGTCTCAGCTTTATGGAGAGATCGCCCTCCCTAAGTATTTCCACCTTCCCTTGTCAGACCTTCTAAATCTCTAGGAAAGCATCATAACTAGTTCAGTTTGGAACCATTTTTTTTTTTTTTTTTTTTTTTTTTTTTTTTT